AATGACTAAATTGGTAGATGGTTAAATTCATTTGCGCAAGTCGTAAGTTTAAGAAACTGACCGAGAGGACTGATTCAGTAAAGTACGCCATGGACCATTGTTCAGCAGAACGGAGTATGCAATTTCTCAGTTTGTTTGACAAGACTATAGAATGGAAATAATCACACTTCTTTAATGAATGGTACTGTTCAGCTTGATTTCAGTCATAGTATTAGGTAGTGTCTTTATTGCGCTAATCTCGTTGTTGCTACCTTTTATTCTACTTTAAATTTTACTTATTGTCGTTGCTCGATATCTCGAAATAATGGACAGCTTGCTCTCTTGTCTTTAATCGTCTAAAGTTTCTTCGTACATTCAATAAATTCACAACAGAGTATGCTTATTCGTTGTTGTAAACTCATCAGTATGAGTTTTGCAGTATAGAACCAATTATTAGAAATTGTGCTCAATATGTGGAACACTTAATACTAAGCAGTGGTATTTCATCGCAAGGCCGTCGAAAATAGTGTCTTTGCCACAAATTCGAATAACTTTGGATCATTTGCTAGCTACTACATGAACTTGCGAAAGATAATGTTTAGGTTTGGAGTTCTAATCTGGTGAAGGACACGTTTATCGGTCGCGTGTTGCTCGACTGTCCAGTGACGAACAGTATGACAAAGGTTGAGAAACAGCTGCAAGACAAGGGCAAACGGATGGAAGAACCTGAGTATCGCCTAGGAAAACTGCTTATCCACGTTGCTACGTTTGACAATCCAATGCACTTCTGATCGTTTATTATCAGGTAGCTATTCATGCACACTTGCTCTAACAATTTCATACTTATTATATCATATAGGACATACGTTTTTTGTAAAATAAGTTAGTCCTGTTTTAGTGCCTTTACAGTGTATCTATCATTTGCAGAACGGTGTTGTCGATGCAAAACTGCATCACACTGTTCGTGTATGAAAACCGATATTTGCTCGTCGTTGCTTGTCATTAAAATTTTGTTTTCGCGATACGTAGTGATAACAGAGAGGCGAAGCACGTCGGTAAAGTAATTAGTTGGTATTTATAACGGTTTGTGATACAGGCGAAAAGGTGAACAATAGCATTTGCAACCGATGCGGGATAATGCATTAAATCGGCTGAGACTGGCACACCAAGCAGATGACCAGCCATGCTAAGCGTCTA